AAGATTAGTGACTTGTTCTACACACATTCTATCTCCGTATTTCTCAAGAATTAGAGTGATGATTAATTTTTTTATGCTGTTTTGATAATAGAAATTTACGGTTGTATGCAATCGACACTCGAACCATTTTGATAGTGTTTAAAAAAAAAAACAAATTTATTTTCATCGATTCATTCACAAAAATAACGGCAAATGAACTTTGTATGCATAATGAACGTCTTTTTATTTTACTTTTGGACAATGTTCGGAATATTCATGAGATGTGTAATGGCCATGTTTGTCTGTTCTAATACTCGTTTTACCGTTTTTATTACTTATATCCCCTATAGCTTTTATTATCCGTTTTGTAGATATTTCCGGTCCATTAACGGCAGCTAAATAACGTAGTAATTTGCCCAATTTTATAAAAAAAAAACATAAATTAAAAATAATCCGTACCAACGAAAATGAGCTTGGATATCAATATCCCATCTTAAAAAATTATGGACTCTTTCGTATACTTTTACGTCTAATTTAAATGCAAATAGTTCATTAAACAGTTAACATTGTTTAATGAAGAAGTCATAAAAAAGTGATGTTATGAGAAGTACGTCGTTAATATTCTAGCATTACTTAACAATGCCGTTAATTATACTGCAAAATAAATGAAAACTATTAATTACATGTATTTCTGTGATGCGCGTAATTATCACCTGTTTCATTGACGTGGTTAGATAAACATGCCGTTAACTTTATTACTAATCTAGTTGTCGTTAACACGAATTAAGATTTACGAGCTTACGCGATAATGGATAGGTTGGCCGCCACGGCTCCGCACAGTCTGGCACGGTGGCCTTGAAGTGCTTGAATTTACCTTGTATCGTTGTTTATACCTAAACTAATATAATAATGAGAAAAGATTTATACTTTTGTTTGTAACGTATGACGGACGTAGTTACATGCGAAGCTAGTTTATCATTATTTTACAAATGGCTTGTCTATGATTTTGTAACAGTTAATTTTTTAATTTTAAATCGTTAAAGAGTATTTATAACGTTTATTTAGTTATCCTGTATAGTCATATACTGGTTTTATTAAATTGTACAGAACGTTATGTTATGAAGCTGTAAGCTTTATAAAAATATACTAGTTATGTTACAATAACATCATTGTTCTATTCTCATCTAATTCCGGCGATGGCATCACACATCAGAGCGGACGGACATGCCTGACAATTGTATCTTTTTTTATTTCCCTTTTTATTATCTGTGGTCGAGAGCCGCCAGACTCCGTCATGTCTAGTCTGTGACAGAGATCGAAACCTTGAACTTGGTCGGTCGACGCACCCAACTCGGGCGCGACATTGTGCCAAAATGCATAAATTTTAAGCGTGTAAATGATATTTTTTTACAGTATTTTAAATCAATTTTAAAGCATATTTGATTGCTTTCTTGGTCACAGCTGTTTTTTTTGGAAAATCGTCATTTTTTGCTGTTTTATTTCAGTTTTATTTCACTGGTCAGCTCTTGTGATTTTTTTTGCAAACTATAAATATAAATTCTGGAAAAAGTGGAGAAAAAAATGTAGCAAACGATTTTAGGAAAACAATAATATCGAGAGTTTGACGTCACGATAATCGATTCATGGACAAGGTCGTTTTCATTTACGTCATAGACTTTTACCGACGTGATATCAATTTTAAATGTCAAATATTTGATAGCATTGGCAATAAAATTAAAGATTTTGGACTCAGAAAACCCCAATTAGTCTAGTAGAGCTTTTGACAATTATTTATAGGATCTATAATAAATAATATTGACTGAAATGGTAATACACTTAGGTAATATTAAGTAGAATTGTCACTTTATAGGTATGTGATCAATAAAACAGTATATTTGATAGAAAATACGTCATTTTAGAACAAAATAGCTCGTTCAATACAGTGTTTGGTGGGATACAAGGTTTATGCTATACTAACAAGTTCTATGCAATATCGGATACGACACAAGCGGAAAGTACAAGGCACGGTTTGAGATCGATCGACGTTAAACTTGTGTTCCGAGTACTTGAATATTCGATTTGGGAATACGACATATTGGAAAGGCGCTGGTTGGGCACATGAAATTGCTGTTCGAGATTTAAGAAGCAATTTCATGACGGATGTATTTTATTGCAAACGACTTATAAATTATTTGTAAGGAAAATATTAAAAGTTGTATATTGTATGAAAAATAAAATCTATTTCGAAATAATTTAAACCTGAACAAACAACACTATTTTGAAGGAGTAAAAGTTTACAAGTTTGACTACCTCTTTTTCTTTTAACACCATAACCGCACAATTGCTATGCGACATCATTTTGTAATGTTATTTGAATTCTATTGTTGACGCTTGTCTGTTTGTTACTAGAAAATTCTAGAGTCGCTGTGATTATCTCAAAATCACGGCCATCGTAGTGTCGCGCCACTCTATCTGATTTGAACAGCAGTCCAACAATATAACAATGCTTTGTATATCAGAGACAAGGCCAGGTGGACTTGGAATTCGTCCAAAATGTTTATTTTAAGTGAAATTTCAGTGCTTTCCGACCGCAAAATATACATTTTAAATTTGACTATTTTAAAATACCATAAAATCACTACAGTATGTCTGTCGTTAGACCGAATAGGGCGCCCTAGTGTCACAGACCCCTTTTTTTTTTATAGTCAGGAAATGCATTTACGCACGCCTACGCCGGGCGGTGCAATGGCGTAGGGAGTGTGGGACTCGCCGGCCACAGAAGGTGACCAGAATACCCACTAAAACCTGACTGCCCTCTGGCGCATCGGGACGGGACCACGGGCACGCTTTCGCTCTCGTCCGCGGCCCAGTGTCACAGACCCCTAAAATCAAGGGATAATATAAAAAAGGGCGTTGTAGAATACTCACCCAGAGCATTAGTGGAGCTAAAACAGATACTAGTACTGCCTACATGTACTAATTTATAATTATGTTTGTCTAGTCTTTGAAACTAAATGAATGTATTAAGTAAAAGTTGACATTACCAAGAAGAGAGTCACTATTGTGATGACACGATAAATCTATTCATAAATGTAAAATGGTGCGAGTGCGATGATTATGAAGTAAATGCACAGTTTAAAGGCAATAATTAAAAATGTATGAATATTGTGTTTATAATTTTGATTTATTAATTCATTTTCATAGCAAAAGCAGAACATACTCGAAGTCAAAGGTGGAGTGTTACCAGGAGCAGTGGACCCTCGTCACTGTCAACTGTCACAGTTGCCTCGCGTCTGCCGCCTAATTTACTAACGGCTCTGTCATTATCACTCCCATTGTACGACCGAGTCCGCCTCTACCAATGTCATTGTACTGCCAAAGGTCTATTATGATAGTAATTTGCGGGGTTTTGTTCGTTTCAGGACTGACCTTTGCTTCCATTTAATGAACATCTTTATTGTTTCTCGAATATGTTCCTTTATAAAATTTGTTAATCGACAAAAGTTTTCTGGTGACAAAAACCCGGTTTTGTTAAGTGTGATGAAGATTTTTTAGGCTGAACTTTCCTATCATTTCCTTTATTGTTACAATTATCGGAAAGGTCACGAAAAAGTCGTATTTAAATTAGGAGCTTATCCATTATTGTACGTAATATATATATTACGTTATTACCTCGTTAGAGTCAAGCTTCAAAGGGTTTATGGCTTTACTAGCCTAATATAAAAATTAATAAACCTTGACCTTTATATATTTTAAGAATTTTCATTATACTTTGACCAGAAACCTTTATGTATGGTAAAGTTTATAAAGAACTCTTTTTATATTTATCATCATCAGCTCACTATACATCCCCACCGAGGAGCTCGGAGCCTACCCTAAGTTGAGGGTGATTAGGCCATAGTCAACCACGCTGGCGAAGTGCGGGTTGGTTGACTTTTTATATTATGATACTGAAATTTGGTTGAAATGACGTAAAGTTTCTACTTCAGAATACCGTATCACAGTAAGAAGGTTTGAAATCTGTGTAGCTTTATGTATCCTTTCAAAATGATAACTAAATTTCAGTGTTAGAGATTCAAATACAATTATATTAGAGACCGCACTCAGGCTTAAGTTGAAAGGAAAGCTTTTGACCTGCGTTCAGTAGGCTCCTACTCCTTGGAATGCGGTTGCCTCTGAAAGCATTATTCGGTACCAAGTTAAATCCAACGTCCGGTTGGTGGGTTCACAATATATTGTTACAAATTGGAACGTATACGGTTGCAATGAAATACCAGCTGAATATATATAGAACTATGTACATATAATGTTATTTCTCTGTATCTTAGGCTTTCAGTAAACTTCTAGTGTCTCTTCTTCTTCTCTAAACTCTTCTTAACTAAACTGGTAGTGGATTGAATACAGTATTTTCTACCATAAAAAGTAAGAAGATATGTAGATCATATATTATTAATCCTGTCCTTATAATCAGGACCAGGAAATCTAACTTCAAAGTTTTAAGAAAAATCTAACTGTAGTGGTCATTATAAATAGCGAGCCGAATAACTGTTTTAAGTGAACTAAAGGATTACATACATAGAAGTACAGTAAATATAGAATTAATACATTAATATTATAGTAGAGATAGCGTAAAATTTGATTTGCATAACATTATACGTACATGACGGTGTCCAGGGGTCCCAGACCGCAAAGGGTCCGCGGCGGCTACGCTTTTATCTTACATTACGAGGAGAGTTACGTTAACCGCAGTACTGCTTTATTACTTATTCAAGTACAATATTATTACCATGTTTTTGCTTTTATAAATGCTAAAGAACCATTATATTAGTTAATAAGGAAGTGCTAGTGTTATACATGAACATCTTTTTTTTTTAATTACGTCTTATCTATTGTCCAAATGTTAAAACATTTTAGAAGCTTCTATCGCGGTTTCATAGTGCAAAAAATTGCGTGAGATAATTTAGACTTCAACTGTTTTAAAAAATCCTCTATTAACATAAAATTTTAATTTAATTTCATTGTTACAGGGCCCGTATGTGGAGGACAGTGTTGTGGCAGAAGACGAGAGACAGAACTCAAGGTCTCCCTCAAGAGGATGATGGAAGACCGCGCGATATCCGCAACTAGACCCATTGCTGAGCTATTACTGGCAACGAGACGAACCTTACAAGGTAACATTAGATAAATTTGACTCGTACCATGACAATCAAACAAGAGTATTTTTTGGTTATCTGAAGTAGACTTTTGAATCCATTTTAAATTTATTCGATTTAAGTATCGCAGTATCTATAAGAAACCTGATCTATCGTTTACAGCTGAGCTTTCATTTATATGCACCGTAATAAAAACAGTAATTAAAACAATATTGGTTGGAATTAAAACTCCGATTAAGAATCGATTCGAAGAAGAATTATTATAGACTTTGCCATAAGTCTAGCGTAGGTTAAAACTGAAATTAAAGTTTGCATTTATTCAAGTGTTGAAATTTTAATTCGTATTTTATTCTTCACGAAATCTCTTAACACAAAGTCGAGAAGCGCCTCGTTAAAGCTAATACAAGTGGCCGTGTCTCCGCCGACGCGACGGGGCGGATAGTACTATCCTGAAATTACACAATATTTTACTCAATAATGTATTCAACGTACTGTCAGAAGGTTTTCTCAAAGTTGAGGTATTTCTTATTATATTTGTTTTTTTTTGTTGTTGTTCTATAAAGCCGACTACACACGTACAATTTAAATGCTGAAAATGAGCTTTTCTATGTTTTTAAATGTACTTCAAACGTTTATTACTTTAATGGAACTAACTAACTAATAGAACACATTTGAAACAGACATTGTTCACAAACTATAAACCTTTTTAACGCCTCGTATAAATTTATACTTTGTTGTTAAAATGATTACAATATGGCTTAAGAAGTAGGTAAAATGTTTTTTTTTATGTGTTTGAAGTCCTATTTTGATACCTAACATAATTTAGTAAGTACTTTTTTAGACTCCAAGGAATTAAAAAAGCCTAAAATTAGTTACTTACATGTCAGAAGTAAAGCATGCCAGCGCATGTTCTGCTCTTATCATGCATATAAAGAACTTTTCACGAGAGTAATAAATTATTCAAACTTTCGTGAGACATTATAATAAACTGATATAAAAACGGCTAAACACTCACGTATATTCGTCCGGTGGCGGCACCGACTAGTTTCGAGCCCATCGGAGGCCCTTTATCAAGAGAGTCTTGCAAATAAGGTATCTTAATAAGTCTGCTGCAAAAAAACAGCTTCAGTGTAATCTAAATTTTTTGAACAGAATATACGCAAATAATTTTAACGAAAACGTTAATAGAGTGCGGATTCAGTGTATCAAATTTGTCCGGTCCTAGTGTGGAATGCGATTCTCTAGATATGAAGGGTTGATGCGGTAATTACTAAGTCAAACACTTGACTGTTTATGTCCGGACAATGTAAATAGTTGCAATGCTATTTGCGGACCGTAGCCACAATTGTGTCCAGCGGCGCGGCGGCTCTCGGTTGTCTGTTTAACAAAGTTTTATAACATGGGTATTGTACGTGTTGAATTTAGTACAAACTACCACAGATAATACAACACGTAGTACTACGTTCCGTATTGCTCAATTTCATTCTTTATATTTACGAAAATACCGTATTAAAATGTCACTATTTAATTCTAGCCGAAGTAAAAGAAAATATGCAATAAAACATTTCAACTTTGTCTAAGAAGCTATTACTGTAGTTAATAAAAGAAGATACCTTTACCCTCTTTCCGTGTAATGCTAAGGTAATAGAAACCCTATTCCATCGGCTTTAAGCCGACATTTACATGATTTGTAGGTTTCGTGTAAATCATATGGGTCATAATCTGATATTCATTACATTGCGACGAGTCAGTTCCATTACGAGATTAAATGGCGAAAACGAAATTATGAAAAGTGAGTGCCGCCTGGCCTACGACGTTCTAACAAATTTCTGTACCTTATAATTCTAAAGGTAGGTGAGAAAATGAAATGAATGTTTACGACATGAAAGATTTTCTTTATTATTTTCTGTTCTTTGCAAGCTTTTTATCAAAATGTCGATGATGCAAATGAAAAGATTCTATTGAAATTTAGACTGCGAATTAGGAAAGATTATATTAATAGCACAAGTATCATTCAGTTATATATCCCTTGCTAAGATACCTTGCTTGATTTATATATGCAACTTAAGTTTAAGAATTTGGTCTTGGCACCACTCTGAGGTAACCTACCATTAATAGTGTGTTATGTATGTTGAAATAGCCAGATAAACAAAGCTTAGATTTATTGATAAATATATCTGTTAGTCGATGCACTAAAAGCAGACAATGTTTTGACACAGCACCAAACATAAATCACTGGCAGCCAACGAAAAAAACACTTAAAAGAAAACAAATCGTAGCAGTCATCACGCAACATAAATGATTTAATCATGGCGTTTTTAAAAGAGGTTTGTTTGTTGTTCATAGATAAAGATTTATTTATACCAAATGTAACGGATCAAAGCGTTCCCTGGGGGCAGCCCTACCGCGACACGTAGCGGCCGCCGCGTACAACAATAAATATTTTCGGCCCCGGGCTACACTCATCAGTGAACAGTTGTTTAACAAACACTCCTGGAGCGCCGACAAATTGGACACTCTGCAAATATGGCTGCAGCGAGCTCGTGCCCGTGCCCGATAAACAATAGACACGCGATGATGGAGCACGATATGGGAGATTATCGTTTGGGACGCCCCTAACTTTAGACACAGGGTGTTCCGAATTTAATTGCTTGTGTACACTAAGGTTCGGTTACTAGGACAGAAATCAAATAACATCAAATGAATGCTGGCCACTTTTATGGATAGTATTTGTGTCTATGAAAGTAAAGATTATATGTCACATGAAATAAATCGCACTTATTAACGTAGTTCATCACAATTTACGTTATTGAGATTTTATGCCTATGTCATAAATGTTAATAACATATACAAACGACATCTCATAGGCGCTATATCGTTATATCAAGACGACGACGATCATATTATTTGACCGTGAAATATATCTGTCTAGACAGACAAGCAAAAACCGCTCTAAATTGTGGACTTGAAAAATAATGTCATTATCTACAGTACCATAGCCTATGACGGAACAAAGTCAAGGTCACACGTGTAAAGAAGTCTAATATCATTTAATGCACTGACGGTTAATAGAACACAAAAATGGAAGATATTTTGTTAAACATCATCCGGGATTTGTGAACTGTAATCAGGTTTAGAGCTGGACCACCCAAAGTCACGGCCTCACAGCGATAGTGGCTGTATTTCCTTTATCGTATACTTAATTAAAAATCTAAAATAATGCGACATAAATCACCGGAAGACTTACCTTCTTTCAAACATTGAAGTGTGAACATATAAAAAGGGTGATGAGTGTATTTGCTTATACAAGTGGAGCCTAAAATATAACATTAGCGAGTGCAACGACCTCTTTTAATAAAAAAGGGTGGGCAGAACAAAGCGGACCCACTCTTCGCCCTCAGTTACACGCGGAAAGGAAATAATCTGAGAGTACTAGACTCGGTCCCCTATATTATACCCAGCAAGGTTCGGGACCTCCCTCGTGGACCCTCATTAGGGCACTAAAATAATTTTACCTTTGTACCTTTAGAATACCGTGTCAAGCTGACGCGACCCGCATAATAATCTTAATTCTGCAATTGGATGTTATTGAACTTGAAAGCTATATTTTCTTCAAATATTTTTTTGGTTCTTTTTCTTTACAGCGTTTTTATAATGTCATTGAATCATATTTATAGAGAGGAAAAGTTGTCAAATAATTTTTAGCATTTATTGTTGTACTAAATAATAAAAACATTAAAAACAAAGCACAAAGAAGAAAATGAAAAAGGTAAAATCACTTATTCCAAATGGAAAACAAAATGGAAAAGGCAAATGACAAAAATAGAAATTTTAACAAAACTTTTGAACAGCGCTTTTAGCATTTTATTTGCAAAAATGGACCGACACGGCGCTACTAAAATATTTATAATACTGGGTTTTTTGCGTTACGTACAAAACTCTTCTTTATCATTTTATATAGGTGTATAGTTTTAGTAAAATAATATGATTTCAAAGAATACTTGCAACGCCAGTTTTTTGTCACGCATCAACAAAATCATTTGGAAAACCAACTTTCATACTTTTAGTCAAAAACTGTCATATCTTTAACAATTAATAATCTTTGATGATAAATCTAATGAAACGTAGTATCGAATACCACATAATAAAATAATTCTGTTTTTTAATTCAACGCGGACAAAGTCACGCGTAAAGTCAAGTAATAAATTAAGAATTCATAAGTACCAAATAACTACGAGTATAATACATTTTAAACCACAGATCCATTATTCAGCCGATTGTATTCAAAAGCTTCCCATTTCCATTTATTTGTGGTTGGCAAAAGAGACATTTAAAATGAAATATCGATCGCATTCGTAACTTTGTTTGTTAATGGAGACCGCGACCAAAGTCATGAAACAGTCATTTACAACATTTTCTTGCGAAACATTTCCCTTCAGCAACATTTATAAAGTTACTTGATGAACGACAGTTGTGTTTCGACTTAAGAACTTCGTATTTCTTTTCGTTTTAATTAATATTACAATGGTTCTCGAAAAAAAGTTTTGTAACTTTAAGGTTATTTGAGTTCGTAAAGTAATTTAACCGCATGAAATATACCTTTAGATTAATACATATCAAGGTATAATTCGCGTGATTATTAATAATGTATATGTTTTAAATTGTTTTAATATGCTACAAGTTACGTACGTATAATTTAACTACACATATAGCTTTTCCTCAACACTAAGTCTGCCCGGATTAAAAAATAAACTTAATGAATCCAATCCAAAACTAAGTGTTCTTGCATATTATTTTCTATATCAATTCTTTATTTTTCCAACATTCGTAAAGACGTTCTAGAGATACCTTCTAACAAAGATCCATCCATCTAAAAAAACTTCGCATTAATAATATTAGTATGATATAAAGATTAAAAAAATATGTTCTTTCACATAAATTGGCACACATTTGGGCCAAGTCCACACCTGCTAGCTTCATATAAAGCACCTTATAAATGTGTAATTTTCTCTTTGGAAGCGTCGATTATCTTAATATTTGTATTCGTGGCAAAGTTCTCAACGGTGGGTCGACATTACGTGACCGGCTTTTTAGATTTTGTTCCAATGTACAGGCTTTTTCACAAGATTTTTATTCGCACCATTTTATTTGCTTTTATTTAACAGGGTGCGCAAAAGTCTGTTCTGATTTTAAAATACCCTTCAATGCTAGGCTTCAAAATACTAATGGAATAGGGAGTCACCAGAATTTTTAGGGTACAAATAATAGATTGTCATCAGTAAATTTTCTACGGGTTACAGATTCTGTACTAGCGGTCGTCCGCAACTTCGTCTGCTGTAGTTTATATTATTCATTCATTAGCTACCTTCCAGTCAAACTGCCATCAAAGTCGGCTCATCCGTTTCGGAGGTTACCCTGAAGAAACGGGGACTTGCAGACAAACACAAGTGCGCCACTTGTTTTGACGTGTATATGACGGCATTTCTACCCAGAGAACCTCCAGGGTTGAAGAAACACTCTGTTTAAGGCAGTCACAACCAGACCATGCTACATGACATGTTTAAAATATTTTTTAGCTGTAACAAAGTAAAAATAACATTTATGGTGAACAAAATACCGTAGTCTTTTTTGTTAAATTTATATATCGACTTAAATTTCCAAAGCAATCTTTTTGCTATAACCTATGAGTTCTTATGTTTAAAAATATGATTCGTACGACTTTAGGTATCTTTGTATCCAATTTCGCCGGTCTAGTGAAACCTAATTTCCTTTTTTTTGTGAGACGTGCTACATCTAGTAAGTTTCGCTCCCCTCGGACTTTACGAAGGTCGTCTGGAGGTCTCGGCCGGTACTGAAGACACGAATGACATTTATTTATCGAACCAGCCTGAAGCGTCGAATGTCAGGGATTTATTTTTGAAATATAGCAAAAAGCTTCATCCAAAAAGCACCCTAAGACATTAATCTTGTCATATAAAATGCGAAAGAGTTCGTGTTATGTTATTTAATGTGAATATAAACATGCGAAGTGTCTGTTATATTTTAAGCAATTCTATTTAAATACTTACTGAATATATAACCTCATGCTTTTAAATTGTTATTAATGATTTACTTGTTTTTTTTTATATCATCAGGTGGCAAACGAGCGAACGGCCACCTGATATCGCTGAAATAGCGAAGTGACCGTTGCCCATAGACATACGCAATTGCATATGCGTTGCTTACCTCTAATCTACGGAGGAGAGGATGCACAGAAAGAAAATATTTTCCCCTTCCATGAATCCTCTCATCCGGAAAGTCCACTTTCACTTCCCGTCCTTTCCTTATAAGATAAAGGGTGGGAAGGGAAAGAGGACTAAATTAGGCCTCCGGGACGCACACTCATCAGACGAAACGCGGAATTGCTTCCACTTCACGCCTGTCTTCTGTGTGGTCGTGGTATTTCACCGGGCGAGCCGGGCCAATGCGTGCGAAGATGTTAATGCGGGCTCTACCACTGTTAAAACTGTGAAGTTGTTAAATTAATAATACTTAAGTAAAACTTCTATATTATTTAGGGTATTTTGTATTTTCAAAGAGAATGTAAATGTACTAATGGATAATTAAAAACGTAGGAACTCCACATTGTTATTCATTGATTCATTATTGATATAATGTATATTCAATACAATACCTTCACCGTTAATCTAATAATAGTACGTGCTTTGAAGGTCAAGTTTTAATCGATACGATGTACATAGGTGCTGGCGAGAGTCGGTAATCTGGTAAGCGATGAGGCGAATGACTTTGAACTTTTAGCCAGCTATAGAACAACTAAGTTATTACGTTTAGAAATAAATTCTCTACTAGTGCCATTGGTATAGTTCTAGCTTTGACCGAATATTGAACATCTGTGATTTAAGAAAAAGATTTACTTTTTGAAAACACTTCATAGAAAAAAATCTTTAATTTCTTATTTTTATCAAATATATTACGTTATTTTTTTCCCAACCCAAAAAAGCATGTGATAATTCTTCACAGGAGAAACATGAATGCGGATTTTATGGCAAATGTTGAATAAGTGTACTCATTTGTAAGGACAGCGAGAGACGTGAGCCGTCGAGTTTTATAATATTTAAGGCTGAATGGAATGAATATTCGTACTTACACTGAAGCTTTGCGTTAAGCCTCTGAATGCTCGACAACATTCAACTCACTGAAAAGCACCTCAAGACTCGCACATCAAACGGCCGCTCACCACGCTTATAAATATTTAAAACTTCTAACGTTTTATAAAACACATATAAAAATGTTTACAAAGATTATACAGATAATGTAACGTGGAATCTTTTTTTAATTAAATACACGATTAAATGTTACGCGGCGTTGTAAAGGTAGCGATGGACTTAATAACACGTTTTATAACACCCTCGGTATTTGACGACCGCGTAATGTGCCTTGTTTACTATAATTCTATTTTCCCGGTAATAAACATTTTCTTTTCACCTTTGTTTATAGGAACATTTGTAACTTTTTTTAAAATTCTAATAGTTATTTAATTTAAAATGTCGCATGTATTTCATATCAAATTGGACATGACTCCGCATATACAGTATAAGTTTTTATAACTTTGTTTAAGAAAAGACTTTCATATGTACTTTTGTGGTACAATTGAGCATTCTTAACATGGCTGCGTGGGTGACATAAATGTGTGCTTTAAGATAAAAACAGCGGCTTGGTAATCGGATCACTTTTACATTTTCAAAATAAATTTATTTATCCCGAGCATTGGAATGCCGCTCCGCGTTAATCCCTCCCCTCCCTTCCCCCCATCGCGCCACGATAACAAAATGCGGGATAGCTTGATGTGGACTTAAATCAGATAAAAGTTGCGTTACTATACAAACGAATATTTGCCCGCGGCTCAATATTAGAATTTAATTTATATTACAAACATATTTTTACGTTTCGATTTAGAAGCAAATTTGTGAGAAATTTATAACGAACTATCTCTATCGAATGGATTAAACGATGGACGAAGCTTTTAAACATCAATTACGATGTGTCGACATTTTAAGTACGTTATAACATCCTAACGTTGTTCTATTTTAAATTTTATTGCTTCAATGGAACACTTTTATACCTACTAATGTGTTGCCTGAATTGTTACATTGTGATAAAAAAAAACATCATTCAAACCGTTGTGCAGTATGACATTTTTTTTTTAATTTTCTTCTACTTCCTAATGATGAAGTGACGACAATAGAAACACTCATCTTCACTGGTTATCACGTTTAAAGTACCAATAGCTAATTAACTTCTTTTGTCTGCAGAACACCTAACAGCGCTGTCACATCAATCACAAAACAAGACGTCCGTACTCTTCCTACAACTATATAGAGTGCACGCGTCCCGAGCGAAAGGTCCTCTATCCGCACTGTACGATGACATTCGCATTCTTCTACGGTCCGAAGAACGTGAGACCAATGTTGATATAATCTCTTCGCCACCAAAAGATCTAGCGGCTAGCACAAGGAAGTTCTTCCGTGACGTCTTTCCCGTCGCCTACCAGAACATCTTGAAGTTAGACGCGAAGCAGTTTACGCCGGAGTACGAGGCGTGTTTGCAAGACGCGTATGATGCGGTCAAACCATTCGGCGAAGTACCACAACAGGTATATTTCGTATATTTATTTTGTAAAATTAAATCTATTCGTCCTTAACGTATAATAATTTTATAAGTTTGAAAAATATTTTTAATCTGTCGACATTTTTTATCTAAGAAAACAAGACTTATTTTGCCATTTATTTGTTCATCCTGAATTCGTAACTTCCTCTAAATATAAATGTAATATTTTTAACTTTTGAATGTATTTTTACGTGTTAGGTTTATTTGTGACATGTTTTAAATTTATTGACATAGCTGAAATTGAATATGAAAAAAAAATGTTGGCATACATTTCTGCAATTTATTCCACAGTTAGTTAACTAACAAGCGATTTGACCTGAATTTTATTTTTTATTTCTCTATCAAAGCTATTAGTGAAGTAAGCTTTCCACGCCACTGCGATTTTATCCAGTAAAACAGGTAAATCGTTGGCATTGTACGTGTTAATTAAAGTCTAAAGTATAGCTTACTTATAGCTGGGATCATCACTATCACGATCAATGGAAGCGGCGCGCGTGCTCCTGCAAGTGCTGGCTGTGGGAGCGAGCGCGCTGACCGCCAGCGAGCAGCTGCTGGTGACCAGCAACGAAGAATGCCATAACAAAATGCTAGTTGCTGCAGGCTGTGCACACTGCAAGGGCTTTGACGTCAGCCCTTGCCAGCACTATTGCTTGAACATCGCACGCGGGTAAGTGGGATAATAGTACTCGTTAACAAAGATTTAACTTACAAAATGAAATGACTCAATAATCTTGATTTGGCGTGGAGTAAACAGAAAGATAAACAAAATATAAGATCAGAACAAATTGTAAAAGTAAGCCGAAACAAGACTCTTAAGTAGAAAATTACATATTACAATTGCACTCTTGAAACTTACTCGGGTTTTTATATAAAATGGATGAAACTAAAAGGACACGGGAGTACGGCATTGAATTACAAAAACCCCTTGAGATCGTGTCTTGTCGAGATTAATTGGTACGACAATTAGAGTTAGCATGCGGACAGCTCAAGGACTTTTTCAATCTAGAACTTTCAGAGTATTCAACAACATTCAATATTTTTTCGTTGTTAATAAAATATAAATCGCTTGGGGGTCGCAACAGAAAGAAATATATCAGTAAAAAGAACTAATATTTAATTGATCAGAAGCTAGAAGCATTCGAAGAAAAGCGGTACATCAATAAAGTCGTAGTTAATTATTTTAAATATACAATTTTGTACCTGCCACTATTGTGTTCCGATAGAAAAGCCGCTAGGGATAATATAATGTGCACACAAGTTTACGAGGACATTACTGCGGCGCCCCGCCGTGCCGTGGGCTCTCACTGCCGCACGATCACTATGAGCAGCTTTAACGAGACTCCGTTTTGGGAGCTTTCAAAGATCTTACTTATGATTTAATGCCATCATCTGTATAGATTATTATCAAGAGTATCTTATATGCGGTTCCCTTATTTCACAGTTCTACCATTCTTGCAATTTGGGTCTTGGCGTTACTCCATGCACTATTTCCATATGTAGCTTCTAAAACATTTCTCCTTATTAGCCTACCATATCTACAATTTTAGTCTCTTCAACCTAACTCCTAGTAATTACTGTGTCCGACTTATTCTTGATGGTTTTCTTCATAAAGGTGCGATTTTATGTTGTGTAGGTGCATCGGGTCGCTGGTGTCGGAGCTGGAGGCGCCTTGGGCAGGCTACGTGGAAGGAGTGGAGCGCGTGGCTCGCGCCGACGCTGATGCTGCGCTAAGAGCGCTCGACGCCCGCGTCTCAGAGGCCATCATGCACGCGTTAGAGAACCACGCCGTACTCGAGAAAAAGGTTAGTTTCAAACAAACTTTAGAATATAATGCTCTATTTTAAGGATGCTTGAATTCTTTCGAATTAGAAAATCTGGTTATGTTATACAATATGTATTGGTATTGTAAACAAAGTCATAAATTCTGCCTTCAAATAATTCAAGCTCACATCCATCATTTAAATCCGAGCCGGCTCGGCTTCTGGAAAGGTTTACGTCACACAAGATATATTGACAGGTGCTCCGCTTCTGCTAAACAAGATAATTTTCTAGTCAGCCAAGTTACGGCCTCGACTCTACAATGACTCGCTATAATTTTGTTTGATATACTGGCGTACTGGCAGTTAATAGAAGTTGCGCATTTCGCACGCTATTTTAGCATTAAATCGCCTTTAAGTTCGTCGAACCGCGCGCCCCGTACCACGGTATCTCATCGGAGTGGCACTACTATAGTTTCGCGGGACACGTCAACGCTGAGTATAAAGTTATATAGTACCGAGCACTGTCCCACAGTTTGGCTTCGTGCCATGGACGTCTCGAATTCCATTTAGTGGTGCGATTCAATTATTTTCCGGTTATCGCCTTTACGTAGTATTATAGCATTTGCATTCCTCTTTCTCGGTAATAAAAGTTCCGCACACGTTTACTTTGCGGTCCATCCAAATGTCATAAAGTCAAACCTATTCGTAGATTAGTTTCACTCGGTGTTAGGGGGGTCGTAAAAGTGGATTGAATGAGTCAAACGGCGATATTGCGACAACATAGGTCACACGTGGGCGTCGACGTTCGCAGGTGTTTTTGCATTTAATGGCTTTACATTCGGAACGATTTGATTAATGTTATTAATTGCACATCAATTGACTGTAGATTTCAATTTTGTTCAATTATCTATAAATTTTGTCGCGATAAAAAAAATTGAAACTACAAAATCTGCACAATTCTATCTGATTTTGTGTTGTACTATGACGTACTATCTTTCCAGGAATTACAAATACGTTAATTGTTATATAATAGATACTCTACTAATAAATACCAACAACGATAAATAATCAAGTAACATTTCACTACCATCAACAAGAATCTTGAATAAATTTGAATGTGGCAGGTTGTAAAATAATTGCTGTGGGTGAAATAACTTATACGGGTACAGTTAATAAACTTGTAAAATTGTATCTTGGGTCCGTGCAAATAGAAAGGCTCGTAAAATCGTAGCTTATTCTGGCAGCTAGAGCAAATGGATATCGTAAACACCCAGCTTAGCTTACTTTACGACTATTGGACGAGATATTTGCAAGCCACTGTTTTAATAAATTATTTGTAGCGTCTAATTTATACCGCACTTTCGTTCGATAATTAAAGAATAGGTATATTATGGCCCTGAATGTGAGAATGAAGAACCAATGGAATGTTTAGTAAATATATTTATAGCAAGTAACTTACGTACTTCAGTAGTTTGGAATTGAGTATGAAAATTATATGGCTTAGATTCGCGTTTAACTGTTTCTATGTTCGAATTTATAATAGATAAACAAGAAGCACACTACAATCATAACTAATATTTACATTCGCTGTTAGCTTTTAGGGATGAATTCTTAAATATTTATTTACTAATTTGTCGTTAACAAGACTACAACTTCACTAGTTATTTAAATTTTATTATAATACTTCAGTCTAGGCGTTCTCTACTAATTAACCTAGTTAACTGGGAATCGAGGCTCCATGTTTACGCAAAGTTTTTAACATTATTATACTCAGACCAAAGGCTCTTTTTAAAGCATAATTTCAAAATCTATAATATTTACATTAGAAAACTTTTTTAATAAATAAAGTAATTCTTGATCCCATCTTAAATAGACGAAAAATGTATTACACGCATTTTTAACAAACATCGTTTGCATATCGTTGGAAATCAAACGATATTTTGTCTGCAACTTATGTATATCGCAGTCAGTGACGGACACAAAATTAAAGCAAAAAAGGAAGGAAATTATATAAATAGTTAATGAGCAGACAAAACACAGACATCCCGTTGACTCATATGCAATGTTACTAAATGGTTATGTCATTCAGTCTCCAAGGACAATGTTTCCGTTTTTAGGCACCGTCCGATTCGTTGTTACGTAAATGGCTTGAATGAATGAACTCTAGATTCGTATATAGCGTAGTGTGTCGCTAAAGCTCTATGTATAAATGAACCTTAGCTAGCTCTAAGTTTGGCAAACACGCGAATAAATATCAATTAATATAAGGCAAAGTTAAAGTAGAATTCTCTGAAACGTGTTATAACTTCATAATTAAAATACATTAAGCCGCATGCTTGGTCACACTTCATTTCTAAAAGTTAACAAAGTATTTTAAAGTTGAAAGTTAGAAATCTAGAGAAATGTTGACTTTCAATTTTCATAGTAAAAGCAATGCTTCGAGTTTTGCGGCAGCGTTCAATCGGCCCGAATTCAATTTACTTTCATCGCAGAAACTTTGTGAATAAATTTTAGATTCTCAGTCTTTGAAATAATGGAAAATGGATCCGTTACGCTCACTTTTTTTTCTTCGTTCTCCGTTTAATAACGCCTAAGAAGTAATCAAATTCTAAAGTATTAATGAATTTCGAAAACCAATTTATTTTTGAGGGAAAACAATGATTTATTAAAGTTTATTCAAGTTGAATAAATGACTGTTTATGATTAAACATGAAATGTATTTAATCGAACAAGCAAATTGGTTGTATGGCCTCTTAATGATATATATTAAAACATAATACCTATATTTGATTTGATTATTGTACAAACGTCTGTAAAAAAGATTCTATCTTTATTTTTACTAAATCTTTAAAAGTCTATATGCTACGAATCGACGACAGCAAAATATAACAACAACAAATATTATATTTGTTTACTAACACCTCAACTGCAATAAAAGTATAAATAGGTAATACAAATTTTAACGTCTTGATTCAACCTAAATGTCAGGTCTTTTCATAAAGTCTCTCGTTTTGTAGCATTGTGTGAAGTCTTAAAGAAAAGTTCCTTTTCGCGTACCTTAGTAAAGACTTCCTGCCAATGGAAACGTGTCAAGTTGTCGTAACGACTGAGCACTGATGCACCTGCCTTACATTCCCTTTAGCTATTTTACTTTGAGCAGACAATTCCTCGTTACTCCGTTTTGAATACTGAATTCTGTGAAATGTTTAAGAATTATCTGCCTCAAGATTAAAATGGAAAACGCATACAAGTACTGTCAATCCAAAATTTGTCTGGTGCTTTAAGTTTTTTTTCTTCACACCAAAATAAATGTGCATGACATTAAATAGACGAATTTAAAATTTAATCATAGTAATAAACACTATTAAGTTAGTAGCCGATTTAATTTAACGTGTTAATTTTCCCCTACTAATTAAATTCTTAATTGACTTTTTTATTTTAATTCTACTTTAGTTAATGTTCAATGATCAGACTAGTTAGTTCGCTACGAGGATAGTGTCTCACTCCGTCAAGTTGTAAGTGCGTGCGCCGGCGCCTGCCCACGCTATAAGCTTTCACCTCGCGCAAGATGACAGGGACAGGAAGTCATAAGCTGTAGCGGACGTTTAGACAAGCATTAATTAGTGAATTGTAAGAAATATATTTGCATCCCTTTCACTAATAACTTAACTTACATTTATTCGTTACTCTTATATTCTTATTTATATAGTGCTCTACCTCAATAAATCAGCCTATTTGTTGTCTTGCAAAGTTTTTCAATTTAACATCTGATTATTAAACTGTTTAATATTCAGTATGGAATGTAAATACGATGTTGATATGTATAAAATGACTGGCTGCGGAATGTGTGTATGTATTCTTCTTGTCAAAGAATTGTAAATATCCTGCGAACTTGCATGGACATGCTATCACGTGTGCGTGGCTCACACAAATGCACCTGTCAAGCTGGATTAAACTAGTGATACATATTGGTAAAAGATTTATATAGGAGTGTTTGTAAGAATAAGTTTTTCGAATTACAAAGTGGTAAACATGAAATACCACGTATATTATAATCTTGCACCACATTGACTAAATGTACCGGTGCGCGTGGGCAGCATGACCGCTCGTGCCTTGGGTCATGACCCACGCCCACGCGCACGCACCGCCCGGTACTTTCGTGTGCACCAATCGGAGACGCAATTTATTGATATATTGCCGCATCACACTTATTTATTGAAGTTAGATACTTTCTTTACAACTGCGATAAGTTTAGACATCGACTACCGTTTTTGTTATTGAGATATTTGAATTTTAATAGCTGTATGTATAATTTGTATATTGAAAATTTGAAGGCGATGCTGAACGACAAATGAAATTTTAAATATAAATCTAAACTGTGGTACAAAAACTAATGTGAAATAACTTATATTCCTTATATTTTGAGAGCGGTGATCGAAAAGAAAATTAGTTGACCACCCAAACTTGACATTTTGTGCGTTGGCAGAATAATTTCCATCTGTCCATTTTATTATTATTTTGCCCAAGTAAAACAACTCAACAACAAGTCAACTAGGCCTACAGGTAGCTACAATTTAAACAGTTGAACATAATTTTTTGGTCCGAAATCGATATTACTTCAAAGCCACGCTGCTGTAGTTGGATCGATGGCGAACTAATTGGTCAAATGGGTTCATGCAGTTAAAAACTTTAAGATTTATCACTGCAGGTTGTTTTGTATTTTATTGAAATGAATTTTTATCGTTATTTTAACTCACCTACGTGCGGTTCACTCTGTGTTAGTTTTCCCATATATTTCCCCGGACTATTATACATTTAAACGAGACAACATTCTTTACAATTTGATTAATTGTTAAAATGTAATAGAATTAATTTATTGTTTCCAACTAGTGAATCGAATTAGTTACATATATAAAATATTAGTCTTAAATAGTAATTCTCATTTATTTTGTTCATTCATTCATTGGTTTACATATATTCTAACGAAATATATTTTAGATATTATTAAGTCCAGGTTAGAAATATTCTGTAAATTTTCATTTTATTTTCCTAAATACCGGCAAGTTTATTATAAAAGTGATTGAATATTCACAACAACTACTAATGTCAACAATAAAGTTATAAATAGAATCATTATGCAATTAAAGCATGCACCACATCGGAATTAGTAGGGAAAGGCACGCAGCGCGATGTTACTGCGACGTGCCTAGTCCTGACAGAAACAGTTTAGCGCCTTAATACCGGCAATAAACCGGCATCCGGTTGTCTTTTAAACAATAAAATTATCATAGCGACATCATTGTGTAAATTCCAAGTATTCAGAGTTCAAATGATTGCGTGTAGACGCAGTTCGTTACCGGCGCACAATTTATTATTGCCCATAAAGGTCAAGCATACCTCGACGCGACGCGTTCTCTCGTAGACAGGCTGAGCCTACGCGATTTACAATCAACGAAACTTGAGAAGTTTTCGAAATAAACTGTCGACTAAATTATAAAGTAACACAGTTCCAATTGGGAGAAAGATTTAATGAATCCATTGTAAGAGAAATACATTTATACCTATCTAGCTTCTATGTAGAATCCACTTTTTCGATTATAAAAAGGGTTCATGTTTTTTAATTCAAAAGACATCTATCAAAAATACTCTCTGAGGTGTAGGGATTAGTTTAGAAATTAAAGTGACCAGTGTGATACATGTTAAATTGCGTTTATCGCAGACAGTCACTTAGTCTATCGTGATTTTTATTGCTAACTATGAAACAAACTTGTTCATAATACCTCTAATCTTCAACAAAGTATGACAACATTTTAAACAGCATCGCGTGTACATTATGTTAGAAGTCTCCCTCTGTTATTATTTTAATATCATTTAATGGATCCGAGCTTCAACAGTTTTGAACTTTCACCCCCCTTTAAAGTAAACTCGTGCTGTTTCTTGGCTTAGAAAATATTGTTCTAAAGAAATTGGCCTCAGTTATTTTACCGTGAATTTTTGAATTTTAAATTAAAACAAACTGTTGTTTTGATTTTTAAAGTTTTCGGTTTTGGTCCATTTTAAATTTTATTGTTTTCATTACAACGAAATAATCCAAATTCGCCCGCAACTTTGTTTTTATTGAAATATTTCCATCGCTAAATAACGAATTCGAAATCGAATCGGATCTCTATTTCGCTTTTTTTACGTCCGTCAATATAAAATGATTGCAGCTATGTTAATCAACATTATGTAAGTCCAGACGTCAGCTTATCGATTAAGGTACACATTGATTAAAGTCACTTAACAATCGCCCACGCGCCTTATTTGAGTTTATTTTGATAGATACATCGATTGATGATTGCAGGAATTTTGACAGGTTTTCACCAACATGATGATGTTTGACATCTAACGTTTTTAATTCATAACCTATAATTATGATAGGAAGTTGTAATTTTTGTTTTGGCATTTATTCCCATTAATCACGTGAGATAGACGTCATATTCAAATTTAACATATATTTAATAAATACTCATATTATATAAAATATACAAAATGTTCCTTATTAAAACCTCGACCTTTGTCACCTTTGGAAGTAGTCGCATTTATCATTGTCTCCGTAACTTAACGCTACCAATTTTTGAATGTCAAAGCATCCGGATAAAGTGATGTATGACATGACTCACCAAGGACACGAACAAAGCCCGGCTGATGTTACAATTAATATAATTAAACAGCGAACAATGGCGTTACTCATTCTATACGTAAAGGATGTTTAATTGTTCGCACATAGCATGCGTAGGAGGCCCTAGATAAAATTAACTATTCCGTATTTCCATCACAACCTCTAAGATTTATTTATATCAAAAATAGAAAATGAGAATAATCAAACGGTGATATCCATTACCTTCTGGCATCATATATATAGGCATTGAATACTCGTTTTTGAAAAACAAATCCCAATCCCAAATCAAATTCCAACTTCGTTAACACTAATATACTGTTTTGATAAATAATTCTTGATACTCGCCAAATTATAGATATCTGAAAGTATAATTACTACAACTAAATCGTTATTTATTTTAAATGAAATTAGCTAAACCTAAAACAAGGATTTATAACAAGTTATCAATCCCAGAGTATCATTTTGACCAAACATTGCCCGCGGTGTCGTATTTCTGATGCACTATATATAATATTATCTATGTCTTCCTCTATAATTACAGGCCGGTGTTGCGGCTGGCCGATTTATGAACAAAAACTTTTTATAAATATAAACTTTTTATCGAACGCGATACAATTCTGACACAGTCGTGCAAAATACTGGCCACTAATGAATATTTACTGTATTTAGCCGGCGGCTCTTTATAAATGTAAATGTTAAGTCCAGATTATAAGCAAAAAGAAACTGAATTAAATGTATTAAACTTTGGTGTTTTATGATGTCGACTTTATTTGTTTTTTTTTCAATTTAAAGAAGGCTCTTAATTTTTATTTTTAATAAAGGTATTACAACATTTGAATGCTTCTATACTTTGCTTATAGCGAACTAATAAGACGTATAAAAGGGTAAAAGAAAAAAAATTTTTTGTAGCAAAGCATTTGACATTTATTCAACTCACTTTAATCCTATTTAGCAAGCTAGCATGAACTCTAAGTAATGTTAATTCACACTAATTAAGAATGGAAAGTGCAAAAAGGAACTGAATAGACGCACGACTCGACCGTGGACTTCCTCTCGTCCGAGTAATTAGCGTCGGAATTTTTCTACAAAGGACCTAATTATATACCAAAATGCCAAGAACTCATCAAAGAAGTAGCGAGCATTGCCACTTTTTTTTATAATAGTTACATTAGTAGGTATATTGCAGTGGAAAGCATGCGACTATTTGCGTCGGGCGCAGGACCTGCTCTTTGTAGTTTATTTGCGTGTGTCGCGAGTCGCTGCGGGCGTTCACACGGTTACAGTGTTGCCAGCTAATTCCTCTCCCCATTAACTCAAACAGGCTGTAAAATTGCTAGACATTGTTCGAAATTTTAAAATTAATTTTTTATTTCAAATTTCAAAGTTTAAATTCCCCTGCTCTTGTTAAATTAATTAGGTTTTACGTGGTGTAGCGTGGTATGTCGATTTTCCCCTGTTACACCCCAGATTTTAAAGTAACTACCTTACTTATACTATTATTTAATATAAAAAACAATGATATTACAAAATAATACTACAAATTAACTATAACACTGAGATAAATGGGGTTATATTGCAGGTTATTAAATAATTGTAAGAGAAGAATTCCGTGGTCACAATTAAGGCAGATCAAAAGAAATCTTAAGAAAAGAAAAATCTTTTCTTTTCCGCTTTATCTTATTAAAAACGAAGTTAATTTTGAGAAGACGTTGACGACTTAACGAGCTTAAACATCTGCTTCGTTTGTTACAGATTGTATTGTTCAATTTTATTTACGTAAAAACGGCTTTTTGCTATCTAAGAAGATTATTACGAAAGACGTACAATAATAATACAAAGCAAAGATAATTTTTATTTATCCTCCAATAATATTATTAAAAAGTAGAATATAGATTAAAGAAAATATGAATACAGATCAAATTTCGTTTTTGAAAAAAAAATTAGCTTATCATTTTACTACTAACAAAGTTCTTCAAGTACTACTATAAATAGGCAAATTTAAAAACAAAGCTGGTAACATTAGTAGTGTTGTAGAGTCGCCGGCGCGGGCACGGGCGTGCGCTATTTCCGCACGAATACCGATCTCGCGCTGATAATATTCGCGTTCCCCACACCCTGGACCCCGCTGCCCGCGCCTCGCAGCCGACTCGCCAACAAATCACACCACTTACCGCTCGTTAGTTAATCATCGACACGTCTGCAATACCACGATTCCTATCTACATATGTACACATTCCTCGGTGAAACACAATAACTCAATTGATTGAAGACGATAGCATTGTTCCAACGTGCCAAAGGATGATAACCGATCTTGAGATCATCACGACTATTTTTAGAAATAATGAAAAGCAGTAGTCTGATGTGAATTAAAATTATTCCACCATCAAAGTAACGCCTACCAAAGACAAGAATCCTGACAAAATCACTAAAAAAGTATGTAATGAACGTTTTGCGTGAATGTAACTGGTTATTTACAACATCAGTATCATTTTAAAAGCAAATTTTGATTATTTTTTATTCGTAGGTCCGTCAAGAATGTGGATCTCCAACAACGTTAGACGTATCCGGCCTCACAGCGCCGACTCCTACGCCGGGAGCGGCGAGACGTGACGCCTTGCGTGCACCTCCACCAGACACAGAGCTCCTGCAGTTCGCAGCCACACTCGCCGCCAGCAAAAAACTCTTCTCCGGCTTAGCTGATAAGCTGTGCGATGAACCTGAATTCGCCAATGAAGGGAACACAGAATGCTGGAACGGCGAAACTGTTGGAGAGTAAGTATTCTTACATAACAATGAAGAAAAATATGGGGCCCACATTAGAAATAAATGTCACACTCTAAATTCTATAGTGTTTAAAGTCTGCTAAACAAAAACCGATAGAAGCAGATCATCGATTCCAAATACAACCATCATGCTAAACATACTTAAATATGAAGAATCAACAACCAGAAAGAATTAGAACTAAACTTTGGTGAATTTCATAATGATTTTATTTGTGCAGATACACGAAACCGTTGGTGGCTTCAGCGTCGAATAGCGATCAAAAATACAATCCCGAGATAACGTCCGGAGTAAAGCAGGATTTAAGAGTAGCCGCTTTGGGAGACAAACTGCGACAAGCGAGACAGGTATGTATGATAAATATTAAAAGATTATACTTACTGACTCATTCGCTGTACTTTATTAAGTAAACTACATTTGCCAATTATTATTTTGCTAACAAGTGTTAAGCGTTAGAATGTAAATATTCCATTAAGCAGAGTAACACTATCATTTTTGCTTGAAGCGAACTTGTCAGTAATTGGATTTTACCCTATTACTTTAGCCAATATTCCAATCATTTAATCTCGACAAGTTTACAGCTGCAAGAGAATAAATTAGTTTTTTGTGAACAGTGATATCATGATATAATAAACCGTAAACCAGTTTTTGAATTACAACGAACTAACGACTCTAGATGACGCATCTTTGTTGCATGTCTTATTACACAGCTTTTTCCCACCTCGTCTATCTAAAGTTTTCGTATTACGGTTATAATGAGGATGAGTAGTTTTATTGTCATCATTTCTCTGATCATTTGCGCTTGACCATCCTTTTTCGTATTAATGCTATGTCTTTGCATAGTTAGAAGTATTGTCCAGCTCATAACAAGGTCAGGGGCAATGTTGTAAGCTAAGAGACGTCAAAGATGTCGTTTTCTTCCAACAGTTGCTAGTCTCCCACTCATGGGGCGCCGCCCCAGCGGCTGAGGCGTTCATGCAAGGCGACGAGGCAGGGGACGAGGGTTCAGGTTCCGGCCGGAGTTACACGGACGATGACGCGGCATATGATGCTGAAGGTTCTGGCGAAGAGGGTTCGGGAGCACAGGATGTCGGTGAGTACTTTGAAGATTATCAATATTGACTACATCTAATCTACCACAACAATATACAACTTGATAGAATAAAATTCGTAGCATTTTTGGAATAATACTTCAGTGAAGTAAAAATTGTTCTCTTTCCATGAACATTATATAAACAATGTACTACTATAAATTGTAAAGTTATATTTAACGTTATTGTTATATACATTACAATATGATGCTTAATATGCAAAGAGTTGTGCACAAGTTGCGAGCTGAAGGAAGTTTGCGTAAAGTTTCAACCATGTTTTCAGCATTGCGAACATGTTTGCTAAACTTTGTGCACCACGTTATACATATGTAGATACGAAGTCAAAGTCCGCATAAAAACGACATTTTAAATTTATAAATTCGGTATGCATAATTTATTATGATGTATTTTTTTTAATTCTATCTTTTGTATTTGTAAATTGCGGTACATCCAGATTGCACATCATTAATTCTGTTCCTTAGTAACGTTAAAATATGTAAATTATATTCATGTACTTTAAAGCATTCTTTTTTTAACAGGGAGCAAGACATTTGTCAGAGAAGAAAACACATATTCGTCAACGGAGAAGACATCAGCGGGCACTCGCTCTCGACCTTTGCTCGCACTTACATTCGTCGTAGCCATCTCACGTATCACCAGCTGCTTCTTTTAAGCTGCCCTTTGAACCTTGTGAGACAGTTCTGGGCTAAAACCCACGCAGGCTACATCAATGACGCGCAGTTGTGTGTGTATCGAACTTTAGTAGTAGTGCGAAAAGAAAAGACACGCGAATTGGTTTATTTATAAATGATGGGAATTGTAGAATAAACCCTACTGTAGCTAGTCTTAAACTAGTTTAAGTCCGTCACAAGCTTTCCTTTTACAATTTACATGTAGGGTTTATAATCTCTTGAAGCAAACGAAAGACGCTTGAAGATCTTATATCATACTAAAGTCTGCAATTGTACAGTGCATATCATGTGTTTACTATATTATATTGGTTTTTGTAAATATTTTTCTAAATCGAATGTAGTGATAGTTATATAAATGTACTTTGTAACAGAAGCCTTTAACTTCTGCATTTATAACGTATCTAGTTGGGGAGATAATTTCGGGATAATATGATATTATTATTTAAAGATCTTTAATAATTGTTAAAGTGTAGTTGATTGGCAATAATTTTATTATGAGAAAAGTATAACGATTAGTGATGAGATGACGATGACGTAATATGGGTGTCCTGTACAGATGTGTAAATACCTAAAATCCTACTGGTCTAGGTGCTTAGCTAGGAAACATGTTTTGTTGCCATATTAATGTTACGAATATTATAATTTATGGTAATTAAGTCATAATTTAATCGAATAATGTTATGTGATACAGAATTAGTATTTTAAGTTAATGCGATTATCTCGTTGCATTATTTATATATTGTAATATTCTTTGAAAGAGTTATGTATTATACTTTTATATATTAAATGAAATGGCAATAAATATATGTAGGGAATTATCTGGTATATTTATTGTGTGTCTAAGGAGGACGCTTTTGACAATTAAAATTCCATAAATTGTATAGCATGATAAACCTCTTTGGAATAATAGATAAATTATTAAGTTAATAAATTCTTTTTTGCTTACCGTACCATACATGTTTAGAAAAACATCTGAAATGTTGAATGGAATCAAATCTAGACTATTGTGATAAAGTAATTACAACTTTATGGACGGCGAAATAAAGATAGTTTTTCCGTGCTCTATATATTGTAAATAGATCTACTTTGAAAACAATTGACGTAATATGAATCTTTTAAAACAATTTGTAGACATTAAACAGTCATATATTGCTTTGCTTTTAACTACGATAGCATAATTTCAATAATTGTAATAATATGTACAATGAAATTCTACACCACAATTAAATTACTGACTCTACTATTTTTAGTTAAATGTCATGACAAGCTGTTTGCTGTCATTGTTAAATGTAGACAATGTTTATTGGTTTAAAGACAAAATGTGTAAAATGTAAAAAAAAATGTTTACGCTTGATGTAGAAAAAAATTAAAAAAAAAAACATCATTAAATGATGAGGTAAATTGTACATTAAAAATTATAATTATGACAATTAATAATTTATCCAAATCGAAATTTTGTCTAGATTATTTTTAAATAAAAATATCAAATGTTAGTGATACTATGTTACTATGTTGATCAGTAACGAAGTATTTGCTCTTCTTTGCTTCGACACCAATTTGATATTTCTGATATGAGCAATTTGAGGAAACATAGAAAAATTCCATAATTTGACGATTTTTCCTATCAATAACTTAAAAAAGTGTAAATTAAAATCTCCAGTGAATTAAATAAATTTATCTTCGTTCATTGGCAAAGAATAATGAATCTCGAACATTTTGTAAATATTATTGGACAGATAGTGTGTTTATATTACGAAAATAAACTCTGTACCATAAAATAATTGTTTTATTTCCAAAAGTAAACGGTCATTTCATTTATAATTCGATCAGTATAAAGAGATATTTAAAAAAAAAACATTAATTAAACCTTTTTCAAAAGATTAGTTATAAATTTATATGAATCTGGCATGTTGTATAAGACCATATACGAGACCAGGTTAAATTTAAAATAAATCATACATAGATTATGAGTTAAATGGAGAGATAATGTAAGTTCCAGTATACAATATGCAGATGTAAAATGCAACAGTATGCAATGTGGAGGTGGCCTGCTTTCGGTATATTTTATTCATGCAGTCCATTGTCTCCGGCCTGGTAGCGTCATAACTCGCAGACCTATTATTATGTTAGTGAGTGTGCTGTACTAACGTTGGGAAATTACACTCCCAATGCATATGCTATGCGTTAAAATGAAAATGCAATGCTATTCGTAATACACAATTTTCTTTTTAAAAAGGCATAAGGTTGAGCAAAAACTTTTTTCGGATTTAATTAATTATTACTAGAAATCATTGCAATGTCAACTCTTGTACCCTTATCTAGTCAGTACCTTTAACAGATCATTCTCACAGAAGACGTAATATGCTGCTTCGATGTGTTGCTTACGGTAGTTCAAAATCACTTTTGCCCCTAAAGGCTTATCTATATGCAATGTTTGATCTATTACTACATCTGTAGGTTACACTTGAACATATTCTTCTTCATACTACTTATAATATTTTCATACTAAAAGCATCGTTATATAACATTGTTTAAGAAATCGATTGCTTTGAATACTCGTACAAAGAAGTCGAATCAAGTATCATATAGAATAACTCACGAGCTCCGTATCCGAGACAATTTTCACGCGTCATTTGCTCCACGTCCCGCGCGCCGCCCGACTGCGCTCAATTTGTACAATTGCTTACGCGATACACAAAAGAGCTCTTCCTTCCTATATCTACGGTGATTTGTTTAAGAGACGATTTACGACTTCTCATAAACCGATATTTAGTATATTGTGTTCAATTTTTAAAAGATTTTCTTGTGTATGCTTAATTAAGTGTAAACACGCAAATACCTGATCTGGTAAAACGTCATAGAGTATAAGTATGACTAACCGTAGGTTTCTTAGACTAATTTTTATGCATAATCTATGTATGTATTCGCCATCCCCGTCATTATCTTTGACCATACAGAAATAACAATATGTTTAAAATGGAGATTTTTGACTCGGAAACGAGCGGTAAGTATATTACTGAAATCGAAAAATTAACCTAATCGTTTAAGTAAATTGAATTGCCGTATATTCTCGTCGATGTGACCTCGTTTTTGCAGTTTATTACTCCGATATCGATGATTGCGTGCTGCTAACCCGTCGTATCAGATATGTCGCTCAATGAATTGTAATAGCGCGAAATGAAAATACAAATACATCATTCATTTAGCTCTTTATCACGAAGGTTTTTTCTTACCGGAAGCGTAACGAACAAAACAAACTTTTTTTTACTACTACGGCCGTATTTCGCTAACGACTACAAGACTATAGAATAATTTTTTGTCTAGCTACTTATAACGCAATTTATTTCAATCGTTATTGAAAAGGGCGAATCTATTACACGGCGTAACAATTTAGGCATCTATTAAAAACCCATTATTTACCAATAAAACAACCTCCACAGATTTATTGTTTTGAGATGTGATAATTATTTATTGCTTTCGATGTCTTTGCATAAAAAATTATTCATATTAACACGGTCAATAGCGAGTTTGTTGTTTATTTTGTTAATAAGAAACTTAATTAAATTTTAAAAAGGGATTATTAAATCGGATTTATAATAATAATAAATACTATGTATTAGCAAAACACGTAATTTCAGTGTCTGGATGTTATCTGGTTTTCAAAGGAGCCGAGGAGTGGCAGACAAGGCGGAATTGAAAACCCAGGTCAATGACCAGTTGACGATTGCAGGACGGGCCTAGGTTGCTTCCTATTAGTACTGATTTACAGAACCAGGTCTAATAAAAAATATTATATAATATAACATACATATGTATTTGAAAATATACGACCCATTTGAACAAGGATTTTATAGCAAATTGTGTTGTTTTACTAAAGAGATATTACTTTTACATTCATACAACAGAATCGGTAAAATAAAATGATATTTGTTAATCAATAATATAGCGTCTTATATTTTCATAGTTGTTTACACTCTTCCTTATTAATTTATAAATTAATATAATTAATTTCGTACAGATAAAGCGAACATATCATAAAAGTTTTTGTACAGGAATAAATAAATGACTAAAAATGTATTCTTACTTCTTAATAATATTATAAATGCGAATGTTTAGATGGATGGATAGATATCCATCGTTATCTTCAAATAAATCCATCCATTCGGAACGGATCAACGGACCTCGCTGAAAATTGGCATAGATATAAAACAGTCTGGAAGAACAAAAGGGCTACTTATTATGTTTTTTTTAATACCGCGCGGACGGAGTCGCGGGCGGCAACTAGTTCACCATAAATATTAAAAAATAAACCAAGTTCTACACGCTAGTGCAAAGTGGAATTACATTCAGCAATCTGACAATTCAGTGCGGCTTCGCAAAAACTTGCGAAGCAGAAACGACACATCGACATCGGAGTGACATCGGACGATGGGACGCGAGGAGATATCTGTGCGGATTGTGCACCCGGCCGAGATACACTGAAATCTAATAGCAACCTAATACACTATTATTCAGACATTACTTAATAGTAATACTTATTTCTTTAGTTACTTCTTTTAATTCTTATAAATCAAAAAAAAATATCTAACCATCTTTCCCTCCAACTACAATTAGGTATGTTACCGTGGGTTTCCGAGTCCGAAACCTCCGTTTAAAACATATATGTTATTTCTGCATTGTCAAAAATAATAACAGAAATGACGATATGTTTTAAACAGATATTTAGATCTCAGAAATCCACGGTTAATATAGCCAATTCGATCGGTAGTTTGGTTTTGGAATCCAACAAAACCATTTTGATCGACGTTCTACACTTTACACGACATGGTTCTCACTTGTATTTGCCAAACTGCATTCTTCAAAAGCTCTCGACTTTACATTCACAGAATGCAGTTATTTCCCAGTATTCGATTTTTAAATAACAAAAAAAATGTTTGCATTCCCAATAACCTAGGGGCCCTCGAGACACTGTACTGTAAAAAGTACTAAAGAATTTCGTTAACAAGAGGTGTTGAGGAAAATACGTTATTCGAAATTATGTTAAATGCTTTCGTATTGTGAACGTTTGATTTTGAAGTGTATAATTTATGCGTATTGTTCATATTCAACGCCTACATCATTTTACACGAGATCATACTCGAAGTAAAGTTGAAGCATCTTTATCTAATTCAAATGTAAAAATATTATCGTTCTTTTTCACTTAAAATAATTTTTTGTATTTTGTTATGCGCGTCTATCGTATTTTGGTACAAAATGCAGTTATTTAATCTAGGATACATTTCCATCAAGTTTTATGCTGCAGTAGCCGGCAACAGCAAAATATTCATAGTCAAATCCAACTTTATAACAGACTCTGACTTTGGTTTAAATTAATTTCGTCTATTTACTAAAATTAAAAATTGCATCTCAAAAGTAACATTAAAATAAATACTAACATATGTGATACTCATACATTATTTATTTATTATTTATTACATACAGTTACCACCTTTCATTTCTTTAAAGGTAAATCTGGATTTTACTTATATGGATTGCGAGATTCCTGAACGAATAACTCTTTAAAATCCGTGTTTAAAATACGACTACTTACCGAAACTGGTTCGTTCGTTGAAAAATGATTTTTGAAAGTCATTATAACCCATTGATGCAATCCGCGAGGAATGTTTCATTCGTGCTCATTTTTTGTTCATATACTTCGGATTTTATAAGCAATTGGATGAATTATAAACTCGAATTGAAACGTTCGATTATTTATTTTTTTGTGGAATGTCCAATTTACAGATTTTTGTAAGAAAATTATCGAGGAAAATAATTTGGTAAATAACCTTACTTTGAGTAGAGTTTGTCCGCTTAAGACACGCTATCACACGTTTCATCAATTTATTCATATTGGGTTTTAATTATTAATTCTTTAGAAAATACGAAAAACAGTTGACTGTCGCAACATTGTCTTCCAATAAAATATACATAGTCCAATGATATTTGATATGTGTAATCACAATGAATATTTCTACAATAAGGGTAATACCGGATAAGGAAGGAAGTCTCATAAATGTTTTTAATAAACATTCAGCTCTTAACTATTACTTTCATAGTATATGCGGCTTAAGAAATAACTCTATTGTGTGAATTGCTTTCAATTAACTTATTGGCGTTAGCGTCTTAAGTTAACGGATATTTTATATCGATTAGACTTCAAAAACAACATGATTTATTTTACAATTCAAAGATAAAATAATATTATATGTATTTGTTCATTAGCTTAAGGGTTAACAAATCAAGTGTGCCATGGTTTTTCTACAATTAAAAGGAGTTTTAATATACCCAGATGTTATCATTGCTGTATTAGAACTTGTGATGGTATAACATAATCATCATCACATAACTTGACATACAACTTAATTAATCTAAACAAACAAGAAAATCATAACTCAAATATATTGATAGTTATTCAAACCCACGCCCGATATTTCAATTACTATGATTTAGACGATGTTTAAATTTATTTGAACGCAAATTGAGCTTCAATTTATTACTTGATCTTAGAAAGCAAATCAAAGCAAGAGCCGACAAAGTTTCAAATATAAAAAGTATCTTAGCAATTATTTGTTGTCCACTAATTGGTATAATATTTGCTATTGGAAACTCGACAAAATAAGTCTAGACAAGAAGTTAAATTAGATTTTTGTTTGGTTGATTATCGACTTAACCTACTATCTTAATATGACAAGACGGGTAAATCCGTTGGTAAAGTCTAGTAAATATCTAATGTGCAAAG